TTTAGATGAGTATTTATATCAGACTGCAGCTCGCTGAACTTGCGCTTGGTGAGCTCATAGTCGAGGGGCTCATTCTCATTTGGACCGAAGATCTTTGGAAAGTATTGGGGCAGAATGCGGCCAAGCATCAGATTGGCATCGGTGACGGTCAGAGGTCCGCCCTTCTTGTAACAAGCCGGACCTGGATGGGAGCCAGCTGATTCCGGACCCACCACAAATATGCCTGACCGGAAGAAGAGGCGGGATCCGCCGCCCGCTGCTACAGTATTGATATCTAACTGTGGCGCCTGAATTGTTACGCCCGCTGTGGTGCTCTCAATAACGTGCTCATAGTTTCCGGCATAACGGGACACATCAGTGGAAGTGCCGCCCATGTCAAAGCCAATCAATGGCAAATCCGTTTCACGCGAGCCTGTCAGTGCATATCCCACGACACCGCCTGCCGGACCCGAAAGAATGGCACGAGCGCCTCGGAAATTTTCCATATTAGTCAGGCCTCCATCTGATTGCATGAAGAGCACATCCACACCTTCCAACTGATTTTCGAAACCGGATTTAAAGCTGGAAAGAGTTTATATGTCATTAACGGATGCATACATACATTTTCAAATATTTTAAAATATATCAGTCCATATAAACCAAAGCGAAGATATGCAATGTCTCTTGGATATAAAAGTTTTGCTACTCTTTAAGAGTTTGGGACCAGATTTTCGTAATAGTCAACAAATTAATAATACAGTGGACGCTCAATGATTGGTTTGAAGAAGATCTTGAGTTAAATTCAAAGCGAACCAAAATAATCGTATTTACACTGCCTCAAGAGGTGTTCTTACTTTTTTGGCCGCGAATGTTCTGTGGTTGGAGAGTAAATAGTTGCTGGACGGAAGAGGGGTAGGGAGCATACCGTTTTTCTATTTGTTTGTCTCAGTCTAGGCGATATAGGCCCGCATTACCATTATCTTTATTATTGTCGAGTCGTTCTCAGCTATAGCTGCTTAGGATTTTTGGATTTCTAGCCAAAAGAGCATTCTCATTCCCTAATTTATGAGCGAGATTGCGCCATGGGTACACTGGTAGGCACTCACCTGGCTAGGTAGCGATCCACATGGGGTGTCAGGTAGGCTTCCGCACAGGCTGTGTAGCCACGGGCGACCACCCGGCACATGGGCATTGCCTTGTGCGATAGCGTGACATGGCTGAATCCCAACTCGCTCGCAATGGCACCAATGCGCAGTTCGTGTTCCGGACAGGCGTAGCTGTGGGCCAGAACCACAGCCACAGAGTTGATGCCCTGTTGGCGTGCAGCAGAAAGGGATGCCCGCACGGCCAACTCGTCCACAGGCTGCATTTCCAGGTATTTGCTTCCAGTCACGCCTTGCAGCACCTTCCACTGATGATCTGGATAAGTAGCAAACAATTGCGTGATATGGTTTTTGCAGCGATTTGATTTACTTACTTAGCTGGCAGCGCTCTGCCTGCTCCGGCACAATGCGACAGGTAACCTCGACGACAGTCTGGTAGAGATTAGCCGGCTTGCGTATGTTTAGATCGAAGATTTTGGGTCTTGCTTGGTTGCCGATGTAGAGGAGATCCCGGAATCCAGTGTTAACAATCAAAACGACAGGATCGCCTTTCCGCTCGAGCAGGGCATTGGTCGCAACCGTGGTGCCCATGCGCACCCAGCCGATCTTCGACGTGTCTACAAGGCCAGCTGTGGTCAGATCTGCGCCAGTTTCCTGCCGTCCTCGCAGAATTATATCTGATCTCTCTCTCGAATTATAATCGCGAACTCACCTCTTTCAGTATGCGGCGTATGCCCTCACGCGGAGCGTCGCTGTAGCGCTCCGGGTCTTCGGAGAGCAACTTCATGGTGCGCACTCGTCCGCCGGGGCAGATGCAGAGCACGTCGGTGAAGGTGCCGCCGCGATCGATAGCGAAGCAATATTTGTCGCCGCCATCGGACGTAGCACCTGACACTGAGGAGACCATATTTCAACTTGCACGACTTGCAAAACGGAACGATCGTCGAAAACTGCCTGAGTGCCACATTGGTCAAACATATTTATAGAAGAATTCGCTCTCTCTCTCTCCCTCTCATGAACAGTTTGATACGCCAGAACTTTGGTATTCTCCGAAAGCTTTTAAAATAAAAAGCTTGCTCTCTTTCGCACAAACCTCTGTATATGAAAAAGTTTAAGCTTCAAACGCCAGTTATCATTTATTATGATATTGTGTGTGTGTATAATATGCACATTTGTGTGTATCTTTGTATGTGCATGTATAAAGTTAGTGCACACATAAATTATCAGTCTAAACAGGCAACCTGAAGCATACCCTATTGAAGAGTATTATTAGTTAGTCATAAGAAGTGTAACATATGTATATTAGACGGACACAATTTGTATTATATTGAAAGAGACTGAATATAAATTGCAGTATTCACTATTCATCAAATAAAAACATTATTTTTAATGATTTAATCTTTAACTGAAAACTATCACAATCTCAGATACCTGTAATTATATGACTATGTTTTTGTTTATTCTAGGGTTTGTTATGTTTATCTATTATGGTATTTTATTGTAACTAAGATGTTTACAGACAAAGTTACTGAATGATGCTTTTATCTTTTAAGCATGCTGTCTTTCTTCTAAAAACTTTTGAAAATATCGCGTGTAAGGGAGCTGGATTTATTAAAATAAATTTATAAAGATTAGAGGATAATTACAGATGTTCAGGAACTAAGTGTCGAAAATAATAGAATTTAAAAGCTTCATACAAGGTATCCTAAACGGGCACTCTCAATTAAATAGTGCCTACCCCTGTCTTTAATGGGGTTTGACATGGCTTGAAGGCAGGGAAGCTCGTGGAGGGCATTTTGTCACACAATTTAAATATTTATTGCGTGATGCCATTTGTGTTTATTTATAAATTGTCAAGCCTCTATCATGCAATCTGTACTTTATTGGGAGGCTTGCTTAACTATGGATATGGATATGGATCTGTTTGTATACCATGAACCAATTGAAAATAGGTAGAAAGGGTTAAGTGGATTTATACGAATGTATGTAATGGGCGGCAAGAAGATGTTTGAATATTTAGATCAATTCAGAAGCAATCAAAGAAATTGCAATAATATAAAAGCTTGTTACATGTGAATAAAAATGCCTATATTTAAAAATTTAACTATGTGCTTAAATAATAATAATTATTATTTTAGTCGCCGATAGGCCGATTCTGGCACTACCATAGTTGCCTGGATATCGGCCAATGTGCGACAACCGGTTAACGCCATTGATATCTCAAAATCATCTCTAAGAAGTCCCAGAAGTTGCTCGACGCCCCGTTGACCATCACAGGCCAGGGCCCAGATTGCAGGGCGTCCTATAAAAACCATTTGGGCACCAAGCGCCAAGGCTTTAAGAATATCGTTGCCCTCCCTAATGCCGCCATCGAGCATAACAACTAGATCCTTGCCAACGGCCTTGACAATCTCCGGGAGGACCTCAACTGTGGCAGGCGTGGAGTCCAATTGACGTCCGCCATGATTAGAGACTATTATACCGGCACAGCCGAACTCCCGCGCCAGCTCAGCATCTTCTGCGGTAAGTACGCCCTTCACAACAATGGGTAGATGCGTAAGCTGCTTTAGCCACTTGATGTCCTGCCAGGTGACAGTGGGATCGAATTGGCTGACCACATATTCTCTGAGTCCAGAGCCGCCCATTGCAGATACCACGCCGCTGGCCTGATCCCCATTAAAGTTGGCCAGACTCAAATGGGATGGCAAGCTGAATTTGTTCCGCACATCATCGCGACGTTGACCAAAAACGGGGGCATCGACGGTCAGAACAAGAGCCTTGAAACCCGCATTTTTCGCTCGCCGCACTAGGCTCTCGGTGAGTGCACTGCAAACGGAATCACAAAATACATCGGGTAGTGCCTAATATAGCTGAAGGCAAGCTCACCGATCCTTATAAATGTAGAGCTGGAACCACTTGCAGGTTTCAGGTGCCGCGGCGGCTACGTCCTCCAACGAAGTTGTCGCGAGAGTACTCAAAATAAATATGCAACCGGCCACGCCAGCAGCTCGTGCGTTGCCTACCTCGCCATCCGGGTGCGCCATCTTTTGCATGGCCACGGGTGCAATGCCCAGGGGAAATTCGATATGGTGTCCCAAGATCATGCAGCTAATTTCCAGCGGCGAAACATTACGCAGGCAACGTGGACGAAGACGCAGCCTACCCACAGATGAAAAAAAGTTAAAAAACTCTATTCGTACAATTTGTAATGCTCGAACGACAGATGAGAGTAGTGCATAATATAAATATATAAAATAATAAATATTATCCTTACTCATTTTCTATGCATTGCAGCAGAATTGTAAAATACTTAAAACATATTAATATGCGAGCATTTGTGGTCTCTACCTCCGTGGACTTCAATCAAAAACAGGGCTTAATACTTAATACGAACCTTTGAAATGCCTCTCGGTTCAATCGAAGCGTAAGCTGTTCCCCAGCCCCACTTTTGTAGTAATCAAGAGCATTTTTCTCAAGCTCGACACTCGCCTTTTTCTCAAAGTCCGACACAGAAACAAATGCCATTTAAATGCAAATTAACAGATGATGAGCGAGAATGATTATGGATTATTATTATACAAAATAAGCTTTACTCCGATTCGGTCTGGAGTGTGATGGAATTATTTGCAACAGGCTTGCTTTTATACCTACAAGGTAGGTGCAGCCTTTAGTCTTTATCTACTAGGAACTGCAAAATAAACAGCTGAGAACGTTTTTTGCAGAGCATTCTCGTCCAGTAGATACTCCTACATTATTACGTAATTGCACCCACATTGTACACCTTGACGGAAAATTAAATTTAATCGAAATCATAACATATCAATTTCTTAAGGATAATACACACAACAGCTGATAAAGCAGCTGCTATAAGCTGAGCAATAAACAAAATATGTTAGAAACTATGATAAACTTGACTCGTTTTATAGATCGCACTAATATATTATATAGAACTATAGGAATAATCTGTGGTAAAAAAGAGACATATATCGATAAACATCTACAGATTAGTACTATAAATGCCATGCATGGATGGGTTAACATAAATTTAATTTGTAAGTAAAATATTTATTGCCCTGATAAGTTTGGTTGACAATGAGATACTCAGAAAAGCTTCTTACAGAAACATTTATGCAAAACAGCTTACATCCAACCTATAATATAATATTGTTAACAAATAATATTAAATAAGATAACACCAATAAATAAAATGCTTAATTGGATTATGGTTGAAGCGAATCAAAAAGCTTCGCCAGCAAATCCTTTAGTTCGGCAGCAAAAGGCATCGTCTTGAATTGGTGTGGGCGTTCCGTTTCCATGGCCACCAGATGATCCCAAAGCATTGTTAATTGCTTGTGTAATTTGGTGCCTCGCAGCATGGCCTTGCATTTGGCGCTGAAGCCGAAAAGCTTCCACAGGCACAGGACCACCAGATGGTGCTCCACATACGAGTCGACGTTTGTATCACCTCCACCACTTCCGTCCTGCACCGGTTGTGATACGATATCCCGCAGGAAGTCTGGAAACCCGGCCATGTTGACCAGCAGCATGCGGTTGTGGTTGCTGAAGCACATGTTGCGTATAATGCGAAGGCAGCGCATGCGCATCTTGCTAAGTGGCGGAGAGCGACGAACAAGATTGATAAGCGCCTGTAAGTGACAAATCTTGTAGCCCAGCTCGTATCTGGAGAAGACCTCCCAAAATGCCAGCCAGGCAAGCAATATGTCTGACTTTACTTTGGCCGAATTGCTGTTGCTAGCCGGCATAATCGTGTCAAACATGTCGAGCACACGCATCTTTCCCAGGCTCAGACGTCCCTCGGCGCAGGAGCAACAGTTGATCATAACACGCAGTGCGGCGTCAATAATTGAGTCCGAGCTGCACTTGGCGAAGTCGGGCTTGGCAACGGATCCGTCCTTTTTGGTTGACTCGTGATCCGCCACGCGCACCATCAGCTGCAGCAGCGAGTGTGACTGGCTGGACAGCACCTGCGAGGTCTGTTTGCACATCTCAAAAGAATGTTCCGTAAGCAACGTGGTAAGTCGCACAGTCATGTGTTTCAATACAGCCGAATGTGATAGCCAGGGCCATAAACGTACCAGCACTCTCACAACTCTGGCGGCCATCACTGGATCCGTTATGACCGCGTGCGGCGTATTTTGCCAGTGCATCAGCATGTTGAGCAGCACCAGCAAATTGTTGATGATATCGCGTGACTTGTGGGCCCCGACGCGCCGCACATAGACTGTGGCATTGCCAACAGTCGCATCGTCGAGGAACGTCTCCAGCAGGTGTATAACGCGTTCCAGCAGCTTGAAGTGTCGCGCAGCGTCCGCCGCCCAGGCCGACTGCTTTAGCAGATTGCCCAGCACTTCGCAGATTTGCACATGACTTTTAGAGGGGGCCTGCAAGAAGCTGTACGTCTTGGCCGGATAGTGTAGCTCAAACAGCTGGTCAAGACTGTGGTAAAGCAAAACAGCAGCGTTGGTGAATTCCTTGGACTGACCAGGGACGGGTGCCGCTTGTTTCGGATTTGTCAGAGGCAACTTTTGCCTTGCCAAGGGCTTTAAGCTCAATATCTTCAGTTGTTTGTTCAAAGCATTTGTGCTGTTTTCCTTGTCATCGCTGTCGGTGTCTGTGTCGGTGTCATCTTCCTCGTCCTTTTCTTCATCACTTACGTGAGTTTCTTCGACATACGCTTCAAATACCCTTAACAAATTGTGTTCCTCTGCTGCATCCTGCGCCTTTATCAGCAGTAATGAGAGCGCTAACAAGGTGTATCGCTGAACCGTTCGATGGATAAGGATCTGGTTTAGGCCATAAAGCAGTAGATCGAACAGCAGCTCCGGATGCGTCTTAAACTTTTCGCACAGAAAGTCGTAGGCATTTTGATCCTTACAAAACACCATTAGCAACTTTAGCATTTGGACGAGTTGGTTTTCCGGCACCACCTTCTGGTCGAGCACATCGTTAATTAACGAGAAAAAGCTCTTGAGCAGCACAGGATCGCGACATATACTGCGCTGCAGAAACTGAAAATTGTATTGGTAACACATTGCATAGAGCTTGCAGATTTGTCCAGCACACAGCTCCAGATAGACGCTGCAGTACGGTTTTCCAGGCGTGCTCATTTTCATCAAATCGCTTAGGCTATTGAAGAACGCGTGGTTGCATAGTATGGAACACCAGCTGGGCTCCAGCGCAACCTGCGTGACACATATGCTTACACAGCAGTTAATGATTTCGAATGAGCTATTTGCTTCGGCTTTGTTGGTGTCTTGCCTTTTATCCGGGGACAGCTGCAGCGCGACAAGTGCCGCGTGAGCGTGCTTAAGGAATGAATGATACATCAGCAACTCGGTGCAAGCAGTCGCGCCAATGTGTGGGATTACCAGCTCGAAAACTCGACCCGCCAGCTCACGCACCAGCAACGCCTCGTGGCTGTCCAGCATCGTGCTGAGGCAACAGGCGGCCAGGCCACCTGGCAGAAAATCATGAAAGTCAAGCAGAATGCTGGTCATGCTGTTGCCGGCACTCTTGATCCAATTCGCCAACGCCACCCAGGCCAGAGTGCGCACCTCTGTGTCGGAGTGGCCACACAGACCCAACAGATAGCGCAGAACCTTGTTGCCACTGGGATACTTGCATATCGCGGGAGGCAGTAGCTTGGTCTGCGTCTGCAACTGACAAATGATGAGCAGACAGTCGCGTTGCCACTGGGCGCCCGTTTGCGTGGTCGTCCGCAGGTTACTCGATAGCTGCACATAATGCTGATAGTAAGCCTGAAAATGGGAAAAAGTTCTGTTTTTCAAAATATCTCCTTCGTAATTCTCCACATATGTATGAAAAGCCGTAAGCAATATGTTTGAAAGGGCACTTTATCTTCGGCTATTCTTGTTTTATTGAGCAATCACTTTTTGACAAAATACCCTAAATGCTATCAATCTATCTGCATGCATAAGCCAAACAAATCGATCATTACTGAAAAATAAGTTAACAGTTTTTGTTTTCCTTTTTTTTCATAGAATCATAATTAAAATAGCTCTCAGCTCCTTAAACCCAATTATAATTTTAAATTATATTTCCATTGTTTTTATGGAAACGTAAACTTGGATCAAATAGGCTTTTAAGTAGAATATCGACTTACCTGTAGTTTCGCGTTGTCTAATTGCAGCGGCCGCTCGCTCAGGTGCCGCAGGACGGAAAGAACACAGCGCACATGTTGTAGTTTGCGTTCCTCGAAATGGGTGCGAGCTAGGGTGCTTAGCTCCTCGAAGAGTTTGCCATGCCACGTGCTGTTGTTCTGTTGGCGATGCCAGCGCAATAGATGTACCAGACAGTCTGTGACCAAGTGCAGAAGCTTCAGGGAGACGTTGCCATCGCGCAGTATCACCATAAAACTGTGATGAGGGTCGGTTTCAAGGGCATTGCTTAGGCCCGCCAATATTTCCGGCAAACGATGGCGCAAACAGCTCAGGCATAGCTCCAATAATTCCATGTACAGCTGCATATCCGCATCATTGCCGGGGGTAAGACGCAGATACTTGTGCATAAGCATCCATAGGTTGCTGCACTGAGCGGGCAGCATGTCGCCGCGCAGGAGCACCAAGAACAACTGAATGCTTGCAACCAGTTGGTGTAAAGTTTCGTGGCTGCTACAATTGTTGGCTGCGATGAGTTGGTTCTGCACCTGGAGGTGGACGAGCGAAGCATGGACCAGTGCCAAGTCAGCTGGCTTTAGTTTCAGTGTCTCTCTAATGTCCAGTTCACGGACTTCAGACAATGTGAGGTCCTCCGGTGAGCCGCAAATCCTGTGCGCCATAAAAAGGCGCCAATGCTGAGCTTCCATGGCCGCATTGTTATCAAAGTGCTTAACTAACAAATGCTGCTGCAGTGCTAGGCCTTCAGTGGCAGCTGTGGGCGGTATGGTGTTGTCCAGTTCGTAGCTAACCGGCACAACCATAGCAGAGAGGTCAACGTCCAGCTTAAGGCTTGCATCATTGGCCGTCATGTGCTCGTGAAAGAGCAGTTGGAATATGCAAATGCTCACCTCGGCGCGCAACTGCGTCTCGTGAGGCATTAGGAAAAGGCAGCGCAAGAGACAGACCAGCATTTCAGCATTGTCTTTGAACTCATGACGAAACCGTTCGCTACGAAAGAGCACCCGCAGTAGAATACTTACCGCGGGAAGCAGTGTTTCCGTCTCTTCAATTCCTCCGCTCCTATCTCGCAACAGTGGATCATGCAGGGCTTTCAAACAGAGTACGTAGGCGCCGTCACAAGTGGTAAACGATTCTACGGCCTCCCAATTGTGTAGTATGACATTTAACTGAATCAGCGTAGATTTGCGTATGCTTGGCTTCAGGTCGGGTGTCTCCAGCAGACGCAGCAGCGTATTTAGGCTGCGTGAATATGGCAAATTCGAGCGCTCGCTAAAAAAGTTGTAGTAATTAACGGGCGGCTGTATGGCGCACACGTCGTGTCCAATGAAGTCCAAGCACAGCTTATCCATGGCGGGCCTGTATTTGTGCTGATGATCTTGCCAGACCAGGATGTAGGCGACCCGACCTATGGCATCCTTGCGAAACTTTGCATCCGGATGAAACAAGTAACAGACATTGCCGCGCAGAGCTTGCGGCGGCTCCAGATATTCGCTATCCGGATCAAACAACTCCCAAAGCATATGCTGCAGCTGTGGTTGGTTGATGGCGCGACACACGAGAAGTGGCACCACAGGCATCACAATCTTGAATATTTCATTAAAGTCCTTGCACGAGACCAGCTTGGCGAGTCCCAGTACCATTATCAAGTAGTCAATGCACCACTGCTGCAGCTGCAGCGACTGTCCAGGAAGCCAGCCCTGCACGAGCAGCTTGCGCAGCAGCTGTGAGCTCATGGGCAGCCCAAGGATATGGCGTTTAGCTAACTCAGTGTTGGTACAGCCCATCATGTAGTTACTGTTGTTCATAAAGGCGTGAAAATGCTCAACAACGGGCTGCTTAAGCAGTCGCAGGGCACAACTGCGCAGTCGTTCATCGGGTAGATCGAACAAGGTGTGCAGCAGAGACTCCGCCTCCTGGCGCAGTTCAGGCTTGGCTATATAGAAGCTGGTACATTTAACGATTGCCTGAATGAGCTGTTTCATCAAGGATTCGCTACCCAGCAGCAGGAGAACGAGACACATTTGACGCTGCTCTTGTAACAACTCCATGGGCGGTAGTTTTGTTTCCGCCACCAACTGAGCCAGCGCCAAGCTATAAGCTTGTTTAAGGCGCAGCATTTGCTGCTCCTCAGGCGCAGCCTCAGTGCAAATCACGCCACATAGATTACACAATTCGTGCATACGCATGGGCACACAGGACAAGTATGAACTGTCCAGGATTAGAGGCTGTAGCAACGTCCGGGCAGTAGGCTTGTCGATGGTCCCATTGTCCGACAAACTCAGCGTTATGACATCCAGGAGCAATCCATTAAATATCAGCGATTCAAGTCGTGGTATCATCAGCTTTTTTACCAAGCTGGGTGTTTCACTAACGCTAGCCACATCAAAGCTGGCGCAATATCTTATCAGCTTGGGCACAATCAGGCCCAGTCGCTGTACGATATTTTCTGGTATGGGCGCAGCGATTTGACCAAAGGTCTTTATTACCTCAACGCTCAGCTCGATCAGGTGCCAATTGTGGCTGCAGTGCTCCAGCAGCGGCGGCCCAAGCAACTCCAAGCAGCCATTTAGTATCATAGCCAAGACACTGGAAACCCGTAACTGCTGCGGCAACGCTGCTTGTGCTTTAACACTAAAAGCGTAGTCGAGTGATTTGTTGCGAATTCGAAGCCGACGCTGCAGCAGCTTTACAAAAGTAAGAAGCGCCCGGTTTACGTGTAGCAGGGTTACGCCAGCTTGCAGCTGCTGCACGTGCAGCAACTGGAGGAATATATGCGGCGGTTGGCACAGCTGCTCAACTGGGTAGTCGCATAATTTGACTTGTATATTGGTTAGATTCTCTTGGAGCCGCAGATCGCTGTCAATAGTAAGGGTGTCCACCATGGTCTTCATTGTGGCTAAATCGTCCACGCTGGCACACGACCAAGCCGGCTCATAGTCTTCGGGGCTTATGTTAAAACTTTCAATCGAAAACAATTCCATTTCGCCAACGCTGCACTGTGATTCGCCTAAAAAACGCGAACAAATGGATAAGAATATTGTTTACGCTCCGAAATGGATTATAGTTTAGATACCATATGTAACAGCCGTACCTGAACTGTTGTTGCCTGGACTAGGGTTGGCTTCCTTGTACAAGGCAATTACCAAACTATACAGATTGTCCAGCAGTTCCATGGCACGTTTTGACTGCAAGCAACGCAGTATTTTCCGTATCTTTTCTAGCTCTGTTTCCAAGCGCTGGAAAGGAATCTTGCGCACAACCGCATCGCTGTAATCTGACCGCATGAGCTCCAGCATCAGTGCCAGTACGCGATCTGCGGCTGTCAGTGGCGTGTAGCCGAACCAGCGTATTAGTTGCTTGAGTAGCAGCACCGGCTTGAAATTGATTGTCTCGCCATGTTGCAGGCAACGTATGAAGCGCGTTTCAACTTGCTCCAATGCGCGCATGCGAATTTCAGGCGACTCATTGGTCAGTTTGGCCAGTTGCTGGTCTCCCAGCGAGAGCGTCAGTTTGGATGATGTGGAAGATGACATTCTGATGATACATCTGCATCAAACATATACTTTCTTATTCACTAACGAGTTTCCTTTTTTACTATTTCATTTAATTCGAAAAACTAGTTGCAATTCACGAATATATTTTAAAGCGGCGTCAGCTTTCGCGCGTACAAAGAAGCCACCATTTATTGTTTGACGCCGTTGCCTTTTTGAGTATAATAGTGCTGTTGTTTTACATAGGGCATTATGCGTTCATGTTGCGCAAAACGCAGTCTCTAAATGTTATCTCGATGGAATGGGCTAACAACTATTTGAAAATATACGTCAATAACTGAAAGAAAAACCTTTGCGTCAGAACAAAATAAAATAGCCTTATAAAGGAAAGATTACAATCACTTTCTGACCTGCTTCAAACAGTTTCGGTTTTGAATTATTCATAAATTACCCAAATACCAAGATAACTTAAAATTCAAAGCATATGTTAAATCTTTGAATCTTTTGAATCTTTGACAAAATAAAAGAAAATTTTTAATTTAAATATGCAATTAAAAGTCATATATTTTTACGATTTCTGCTTTATTTTTGAAGGTTTAGTAGGGACAGTCGACTTCAGAGGCCCAGTTACAGTTCAATGAGCTAACGTCGAAGTAAAGTCCACCTCCGCATTGGAAGTCATAGCGAATGCCATCTACACACTGATAGTAGCGAGTGCAGTCGCTGCTGTGCAGGAAGTAGCCATCGGTTGAACAATTCTCGTTGGAGCCTCCTCCACCGCCACCTCCCGGAGTCGGGCTAGGTGTAGGTGCCGGGCTAGGTGTAGGTGCCGGAGTCACACTGCCACCGCCTCCGCCTCCGCCACCACCGCCGTTGCCCACATCGACTCCTAAGGCTCTGTTCATTGTCTTCAGCAAGGGGTATGTCTCTCCGCAGAGGCCGCGGAAGTCATCGGTCTCGATGGACCAGGTCATGGCGCCGCCCAAATTTCGTGACGCTACCAATTGCATCTTGAGCTCAATACTTTCAACGTTGTCGTAGCCAATCCACTGATCGCCTTGGAAAGCGTAAGGAGCTTTATTCTCGCCATCGAATACCGTTTGCCAGTTGTTTTGGCAAATTTCATGGTAGCCCATGAAACCTTTTTCGCGCGTATAGACGCCTTCGTTACCGGGTCCAATGCAAGCTGCGCCAGGCTGGTTCTGGGAGCTGTCCACCATCTGATAACTGTGTCCATAGAATCCAATGCCCAGGATTAGCTTCTCAGCCGGCGCACCTAGACAAGAATTTTATAAATACCCGAGTATATTTGATGAAGCCTATGTGATGAGTCACTTACCTTGCTGCAGCCAGTAGTCGATAGACTTTTCCACCTCTGGCAAAGGAGCATTAAAGCCCAAATAGCCATCTAGTGCCATGTGGAAGTCGTAGGTCATCACATTGATGAACGTTAAGTGCTGAGAAATTGCCGGAATATCGTAAGAAGTGGTCGCAGAAGCTTCAGAGGCGCCCACAGCAATACCCAACTCCAAGCCGTAAGGATCAAATCTGCATTAGCATTATGATAATAAAGAATATTTTTTGTAGCTTATATTTCCACTTACGCTTCCTTAATTTCCCGCAGAAGCGTAACGAAGTTCGCTCGATCCGCAGCCTCACCGCCGCGTTGTCCGGGATATTCCCAGTCTAAGTCAAGACCATCGAAGCCATATTGCTGGATGAAGGATAATGTGGAGGAAATAAAGGTCGCCCTTTTTGCTGGATCGGCAGCCATTGCCGAGTATTTGGTGGAGCCTTCATTCCATCCACCCACCACAGCCAATACTTTCAGCTTGGGATTCACCTGTTTCAATGCAATTGTCTTGCTTATGAAACCTACAAAATAATTCCCAAGTTCACTTAAACTGATCGACGAATATACAGAATTGTTCAGGTACTCACCCAGACCATCATCCATGTCCAGCCATGTGTCCAGGGACTTGAACTCGCCCGAGTCGCTGATGCCAAAGAACGTGTAGCTAATGTGCGTGCACAGGGATGGATCTATGTTGGATGGCTCAAATTTTCCATCTCCAGGTCGATAATTGGCCCAGGTGCCCCAATAACAGTTGAGTAACTCTGCAAGACACGCCCAGATCAATATCGACCGATGACAAACGGGTTCTCAGAAGGAGGTACTCGCACTTACTGTCGCTGGCGGCCAGCTGACCTAGACAAATCAATGACAATACCAAGCACGCGAATGACTTCATGCTTACTCTAGCTCTGAGTTCATATTGCCGTTACTTTTATAGGTCGTGTACTCGCTTTGCTTATCAGATCCATAAACGACAATCTACTGTGAACTGGGTAGATAACATTTGCCATCTGCGGGCGGAGTCAACGTTAAAACCACGAAAAACAATGTCCTAATATATTGCATCTGTTGGATAATCTAGATTAGAAAAGCGCTCCTCCTATATTTCGCACTTCAATATGAGTATACTAAATTAAATTTTGACTCATACTCCCCACTCAAGTGCGCCTTACCAATGTCCACTTGTACTCGAGCTGTATTTTAATGAAATCCATATACCTATTCAGATTAATCGAAAAGGAAACTAAGTACCTTTGTCGTGCTTTCATTATATTTAGCATTCCATAAAGTTATCTGCATGATACAGCGGCATGTCGACCCCCAAAAGCTAGCACTGCCGTGACTTATTATTTATTGCCAGCAATATTATTTTTAAAATCAAAATTACACTAGCCAACAAAGTTACTAACGGGCAGAAACAATACCGAGTCGATCTAGCCATGCCAGCCTGTCTGTCCGTATGTATCAAAGCGTCGATCTCAGAGATTATAAGGCTTTTATACATGTTATTTTAAATATTGGTTCTTCTAGAACCCGTAAAGGTCGGGTTTATAAAATTGATCGATTACTTGCACAATTTCTACAAAATCGTAACTAAAAGATGATGGTTATCGTGGAGTTTTGCACAGAGCTAGAATAAATCTCTCTTTGGGTACCTTACTCTGTTCCCCACAAATGGGAAAACCTGAATTTTTAGAGGCATAAACTTGCGCTCAAGTATATGTTTAGCTTAACTATTAAGTATTAAGCACAACTCAAAATGTAATGTGCTGTTTAGGCCAAATTCAAGCAACTAAATAGACTGATGTACATTGTAACAAGAAAGGGCAGTGGCTACTAGGAGGCCCTGAATCTTTCTACAAAAAAAGGCACACGCCATTGATTTTAATTTTTAGGGGATAGTAAGAAAGAGGATCAATTGATGATGACCAGAAATCATCGCCCCTTATTGCTCCTTATTGCTATCTATGCTCAACTCTTTTCGTGTGTTATGCATACCTTATACTAGCTGGTTCCGCGTTTTCTCTATTAGATAATTATAATACACTCTAGAAGGGCTGGAAAATTGTTCTTACTTTTACCCACAGCACTTTTACTCTTGAACGACATCTAAAGTAAAAAAAACCTTTCCTTTTCTTCCAATCATACAATGGACAGAAATTGTATTTTGATAAGGCTGAGTTCGATGTAAGATCGCACGCTTTGATAAACTCAGACATGTGTCAAACTGTAAGATCGCACACTTTGATAAACTCAGACATGTGTCAAACTAAATTAAAATGAAATTTTGTAAAATACGTTTTCCTAATGCAAAATTAATTATTAGGCATACGAATTAGGGTAGTTCAGGCAAATTCCTTGGAAAAGGGATTCTCAAGAAATCGACATCATCTGTTACTCAATGCTAAATCAATACGTGCAGAAGAGGTATCCACCATGCTCTTGTTTTCTTCGCCTAGGGGTAAGATTCTGACAAGAATTACGACTACAAAATATGAAGCCTCATGAAAATCGGTTGAGTTTTGACCGATTTATGGGAGTGGGAAATTTCGACCCATGTCTATATGCGAAACTTAGGGGTAAGATTTTGACATGAATTTCGACTACAAAATATGAAGTCAGATTTGAATGCCACATTATTATAGAGGGAAACCCATGGACAAAAAGCCAAGCCTCATGAAAATCGGTTGAGTTTTGACCGATTTATGGGAGTGGGAAATTTCGACCCATGTCTATATGCGAAACTTAGGGGTAAGATTTTGACATGAATTTCGACTACAAAATATGAAGTCAGATTTGAATGCCACATTATTATAGAGGGAAACCCATGGACAAAAAGCCAAGCCTCATGAAAATCGGTTGAGTTTTGACCGATTTATGGGAGTGGGAAATTTCGACCCATGTCTATATGCGAAACTTAGGGGTAAGATTTTGACATGAATTTCGACTACAAAATATGAAGTCAGATTTGAATGCCACATTATTATAGAGGGAAACCCATGGACAAAAAGCCAAGCCTCATGAAAATCGGTTGAGTTTTGACCGATTTATGGGAGTGGGAAATTTCGACCCATGTCTATATGCGAAACTTAGGGGTAAGATTTTGACATGAATTTCGACTAAAAAATATGAAGTCAGATTTAAATGGCAGATTAATATAGAGGGAAAACCATGGATAAAAAGCCAAGCCTCATGAAAATCGGTTGAGTTTTGACCGATTTATGGGAGTGGGAAATTTCGACCCATGTCTATATACGAAACTTAGGGGTAAGATTTTGACATGAATTTCGACTAAAAAATATGAAGTCAGACTTGAATGCCAGATTATTATAGAGGGAAAATCATGGATAAAAAGCCAAGCCTCATGAAAATCGGTTGAGTTTTGACCGATTTATGACAGTGGGAAATTTCGACCCATGCCCATATACGAATCCTAGTGGTAAGATTTTGACATAAATTTCGACTAAAAAATATGAAGTCAGATTTGAATGCCAGATTATTATAGAGGGAAAACCATGGATAAAAAGCCAAACCTCATGAAAATCGGTTGAGTTTTGACCGATTTATGGGAGTGGGAAATTTCGACCCATGCCTATATACGAATCCTAGGGGTTAGATTTTGACATGAATTTCGACTACAAAATATGAAGTCAGATTTAAATGGCAGATTAATATAGAGGGAAAACCGTGGATAAAAAGCCAAGCCTCATGAAAATCGGTTGAGTTTTGACCGATTTATGGGAGAGGGAAATTTCGACCCAAGTCTATACGAATCCTAGTGGTAAGATTTTGACATAAATTTCGACTAAAAAATATGAAGTCAGATTTGAATGCCAGATTATTATAGAGGGAAAACAACGGATAAAAAGCCAAGCCTCATGAAAATCGGTTGAGTTTTGACCGATTTATGGGAGTGGGAAATTTCGACCCATGCCCATATACGAAACTTAGGGGTAAGATTTTGACATGAATTTCGACTACAAAATATGAAGTCAGATTTGAATGCCAGATTATTATAGAGGGAAAACCATGGATAAAAAGCCAAACCTCATGAAAATCGGTTGAGTTTTGACCGATTTATGGGAGTGGGAAATTTCGACCCATGCCCATATACGAATCCTAGTGGTAAGATTTTGACATGAATTTCGACTAAAAAATATGAAGTCAGATTTGAATGCCAGATTATTATAGAGGGAAAACCATGGATAAAAAGCCAAGCCTCATGAAAATCGGTTGAGTTTTGACCGATTTATGGGAGTGGGAAATTTCGACCCATGCCTATATACGAAACTTAGGGGTAAGATTTTGACATGAATTTCGACTAAAAAATATGAAGTCAGATTTGAATGCCAGATTATTATAGAGGGAAAACCATGGATAAAAAGCCAAGCCTCATGAAAATCGGTCGAGTTTTGGCCGATTTATGGGAGTGGGAAATTTGGACCCATGCTTATATACTTATGTTTGTCGCATGGACTTTCAGGTAGGCCAGGTTAGTAGTGCAATGCGACAGTATGGTATGCTCTGACAATGTTTATTGGCTTCACCTTTACCTCTTTACCCAAACTGGGCTGTTTGCTGCAGTTTGTAACATATGTCAGCTTTGATGCTGTCGCTTCTATGAAATTGAAATCAATCTTTGTAGACATATTTGCTGCCTGAGTCAGCGTAAAAGCTCCTTAGATATAAGGGCTTCACTGCTTGCTAGTGCCTCGGCTTGGTGGTTGTTGGAGGGGTCAGGAAGCCTAAAAGATACTTCTCGTTCCACGCAGCTGTCTAGTTTAGATACGTCAGAGTCGAAGGTTATGACTTCGGCTTAGCCTTGACTATTACCGAGCCAGTCATCTCGACAAACCAATTTACCTATTTTAACACATTTTTATTTACAAATTCAAAGTGTGTATAGTTTTCATAGAATGCGACAGTTAGACAACTGCAACAACCAAAAACTGCAAGAATAATATAATTAGTTGCGCTATCAACAAACATTAATCAGACACAAGTACGCAAGGGCTCTCGACAGCAGGTCTCGTCCAGCTATCGTCCAGAAGTGCACTCGCGACACGAGACCTCTTACCTGTTTAAATAGGTTTATTTTTGTCGATTTCTAAGTTGCTAACACAAATGCCAACTATCTCCCAGAAGAGCGCACTCGACTGGGACGACATTGTTTGAATAAGTTTATTTTTATTTTTTAAGATTTTTAAGTCGGTAACAAGATTATATGTGACTTAAGGCTCGCTGCGCTCTGAGCAGACATTCATTCCAGATTACCGAATATGTAACCCAGTTTTTTGAATACCAAAATGAGGAGGTATTCAAAAAATGACATATTCCTAGTTTGTGTATACTAGAGCCTACATAGAAAGTTCGGCTTATATAGTTTATGAGTTATGTTTAATGAATCAAGTCTCAAAATTGATATCGATCCAATATGATGAGCTCACTTTGACAATAAAAAAAGAACAGAAGTTATTTAGGAAAAATCATGGACAAAGTGCTCATGAGAAGAAGAAGTTTGCCTGCTTAGTCGTATCCAAGTTTACTTGTATTTCTTTTAATTTCTCAGTTGAATCTAATATAAAGGTTTTATGCTTGGTTTGCTGGTAAGTATTTATTTATTAATTGCCATGATTGTACACAGGATATACAATAATTATTTTTGCAATTTGAATTACCAACGCAACTTTCTGTTGATGGTCTTCAGGAGGGGATATGACTCGCCGCACTGGCCACGGAAGTCGTCGGTCTCTATGGACCACACCATAGCTCCGGCTAGGTTCTTGGAGAGGGCAAAGTCCATTTTCCACTGCACACTGAGAACATTGTCAAAGCTGACCCATTGATCTCCGGAAAAGGCATAAGGAGCGGCATTATTATTGTCGAAGACCGTCTGCCAGTTGTTCAGGCATATCTCATTATAGCCCAAATAGCCGCCATCGCCCAAGCCCTCGCCTCGGCACGGAGCTCCTGGCCAATTTTGAGAGGCGTCCGATAGCTGGAAAGTGCGCCCATACAAGCCAATTCCAAGCACAAGCTTATTGGCAGGTGCGCCTACGGATTGGTGTGAAATTAACCGGAACAAGAAACTCTCGCATTATCCAATTACCTTGGTTGAGCCAATAATTGATGGAGTTCTCGACGGCCCACTGTGGC